GTTCCTGGTGATGATCATCAAGAACCTCAAGAAGTACTTCAGCTTTGAGGTGACCGTGCTGGACGACAAGGGCGTCAAGAGGCGCTTCAGGGCGTCAAACTACCAGGTCGGGGTGGTGACTTGCTCTAAGGGGTGGGGACAGCCCACAGCACCCACGGCGGGACCTGTGCCAGCGACAGGTTGCGGGGAGACTAAGTACTGAGCTGCGGCGCCGCCAAACGCAGAACATTTTGCGTATGTAGCTGCGGAAGGTTGGCAGCAGTTGCAGCCGCTGACTGCTGCGGCCTCCCACCCCCCGTCCCTCTGCGGCGTCTTGCAGTCCACCACGCGCGTGAAGCCCTTCATCTGCACCATGCCCATGCGCCTGGACGAGGGCTGGAACCAGATTCAGGTGCGCGCCGTGCCTTGGGCGCTTAGTCTGCATGCCCATATGTATGTTTAAGAAATGTGGGCCGAGACTAAGGTTCTAGGCCATTTGACCTCTGGCACGCGCTCCTACAATGCGGCGTTTTGTGCCACCACACTCTCAGCGGCTTGTCACTTGCATGCCCTCAACACAACTCAGCACAATTCCCACCCTTCACCCTCCCTCACAACGCTCCCCATGACCCCGGCCCGCGGGAACAGTTCAACCTGTCGGACTTCACGCGCCGCGCCTACGGCACCAACTACGTCGAGACCCTGCGCGTCCAGATCCACGCCAACTGCCGCATCCGCCGCGTCTACTTCAGTGAGCGCCGCGCCGCACACGACAGCGCACACGCGGCCAGCTCCTGTGGTGCCCGCAATCAGTCAGTGTGCTTCCCTGTCCGCGACACGCGACTCGAAACGCGCCCTCTAGTGCATTTGGATGTGTCATTTCATTGTGCCGTCACGGCCCCTCTTGCCATTATGCAGCTTTGAATTTTTACAAAAAGAATTGTGGGACACGTGGTCCTGCCGACCCTGCCCCTGGCTGCACTGGCACCCCACCCTGCACCCAGGTGACCGGCTGTACAGTGAGGAGGAGCTGCCCCCGGAGTTCAAGCTCTTCCTGCCCATCGCCAAGGCATGACACCTCCCCTTGCAGCCTGAGCTGCGGCCTCTGCGGCGTCAGGATGGGGGGCGTTGGGCCACACGCCTGCGAGGGTCCCCAAAACCAGGCTTCTGCACGCGCGCGCCAATGGCTTTGTGCCAGTAAGGCGCCACACGTTCTCTGCTTTTGTTGCTGTGTCGCCTTTTGCCTACGCCCTGTCTTATCGGTCCACTTCTGGCCCGAGGTTTTGAGTGTCGGCGGTTTGGGGAGGGAGGGAGGGCGGGCGTGACGGTGATTGTGGAGCGCGGCGGCGGCGGCCGCGACAGCGCGCTGCGCGCCGCGCGGGGTCTGGGCCTGGACGTATTCCTCTCATTGACGCTGGGGACGAGAGGTGTAACATGGATTGTGGCCAGTCAGCCCAGCGCCGCAAAGGCTGCACCCTTGGAGAAGCCGTCGCCTTCCGCGTAATTGAACCAGGACATTACTGTGTTTGCGTCAGGCATAACAGAGTTGGGGGTGGCACAAACGCAGCTCACGCGCGTCGCAGCCAGGCGCAGCTGACCGCCGTGCACGGAAGGTGCAGCAACGCAGTGCAACCGAGCGCCTATAAAATAGGCGGGGCATGTCGAGTAGGTGCGATCACAACTGATTGCAGTGCATGCAAGAGACGCATAGCCTTGTTACTGAAAAGGGATGCCCGTGCAAAACTCAAGAAAGCGCCAGAAAACTCCAGCCGCTGCCGCTCCCCAGTGGCGCGCCAGCGCTCTGGTGGAAGGATCGCCGCCCTTGCGCCTTAGCGCGCCAGCGGAAGCGACTCCTCCTCGTCTGCAGCCACATCCCCCTCGTCGCGCCGCGCCGCGGCCGCCGCGGCTCGCTGCGCGGCCGGCCCCTGCGGCACCTGGGGCCAGAGCACCAGCAGCCCGAGCGGCAGCAGCAGCGCGGCGGCCCAGGCGGGGGCCCGGATGAAGGCTGAGAACACGGGCTTGCCGCCAAACACTTGCAGAAACGTCGCCTTCTCCTGCAGCCCCGCCTGCGGGGCAGGGCGGGCGCCGCCGTTGCGGGTGTGGGGGTTATAGCCCGAGGCAGGAGTGACCACGCGGCTGAGGACGGGGCAGCGCGCGGGTCTCGTGGGTGGAGGTGCATGATCCCTTGAGGTGGGGGGCAGGCGAGGTGTTTCGCCTCGCCCGCCGCGACACGCACTCGCAGGCGCGCCCGCCCCCTCACCGCGATCGCGGCCAGCCCCGCGGTGTAAGTGGCCTGCCCCAGGAATCGGTGCACCGGCCCCAGCGCCTCGCGCCGCTCCAGGGAGGCCCCGGGCCACAGGTAGCAGCCAAAGCCGACCACAAACTGCAAAGAAGCCCGGGG